CTGGGGTTCCAGGCGGCTTCTGGTGCTGCTGCAGGGTTTCTCGGGCAGGCAGAGAGCACCGGCCTGCAGAACTTGCCGTCTTTTATAGATCAGAAATCACTGTTCAAGTAAAGTACCACTGTTCAAATTAGCCAATTAGCACTGGCCAGGTGTGTACTCTGTCAGAGACAGTCTTCTACCTACTGTTCATTTTTCTGCCAGTTATCATAACACTTAATGCTCTTTTCTTGCTGTGGACTTACCTGATAGAGCAAGGGGCCTGTTCCAGTCTGGTTTTGGCTAAATCAGCAAAAAGACACCACTCTTACTTTGCTGGCATGAAAGGCATTTTGTTCAGTCTTATGTGGGGGGAGAGAAAATGGACTGTTCCCCACACCCTGGTTTGTAGGTGTACTTGTTGCTAATAAGTCTTCTCATGACGTAAGTCAGTACAGTTGCACACTGGGACACTCAATGCTTTTGCTAAATTGTCAGTCATTCACATGCAACATGAGCTTCATTCTAAAACCTGAAGATAGGGTAAGCAACAGAAAAGTAGAGACTGCAGAATATGTTTATCACTATCATAGAAATATGGTTTGCCAATCAGCAGACCTCCCATATATCACTGACTTAATTCCTTGCTTTCCCACACTATCACATCATAGACATAATAAACTGAAACTTCAAACTAGTTTAATTTCTTTGCTGGGACTCCTATAGAAGCATAAGCTGGGACCTAAGACCTAGCACTGTTCTATTAATTACAGGAATTTATAGCAAAATAAAAACCAAGAAACTGAGCTCTTGAAATCTATTGCTTTTATTGAAGTTTTATAGTGACATATAAAATACAATGTATTATCAAGACACTTATAAAAATCAATAGAGGCACTGTAACAAGTGCATAAGAAATATCAAAACAGATTTGCGTCGATGATACAGACTCCAAGGGAATCCTGTCCAACTGTATCAAAAAGGAACTTCTTAGCAGTCTTCTCAGTAGTTTGTCTTCCTATGAGCTACTGCTCATTGTCCTTGTTATTCCCTTGGGCCTTTTTCATAGAACTGTTACATAAGAACAGAAATATAACTACCTACAAAGTCCCTATTGGCTTAAGGCACAATTATGTTGTAGATTTCACCTGAGACTGTAAAAAGGTAGTAGTTCCTTGAATAAACATCCTATTTGGGGAAAATTAGGTTAAAATAAATCAAGTTAAAGGTAAGTCAAAGTCCAATTCAGCAGTATTGCAGATGCTGTCAGAATACACTTCTTTTTGCACTTCCCTCCATGTCAATATTTGCTCTGCCAGGTCCTCCAACTCCATCACAAGTACCTCTGTTTTTGTCAAAGCAGTGTCCTGAAGCAGAAAAGAGCTGGATTTCAACTCTATGTATCCTGTCAATCTAGCCACACAAAAATAACCTAAAAATCAAAGACCATTAAATTATTAATACTGAAGGAGACAGATGGCCCAGTTCTTTTGCTACTCACCATGTTCTTTATGACGTTTGGTATCTCAGGGATGCTTCTTAAGGTCTGCAAATGACTTTCAAGCTTCTCAATGAAAGTCACAGCCTCAGCCAACAATTCTACTACGTACCTGTAAAGAAGAATGAGCCCTCTACTCAAAAGTTGTGCAAAACCATTGAGGATTTAATACTTACAAGCTCTTATTTCTTTCCCCTGTGGGTTTTCTTAGTCCTCCAGTTTTATGCAAGCTCCTAAACATCTCATTAATTTTGCTGCAATTACACTTCTTTTATGACTCTCAGCATCAAGTAAGGCAGGAAATACAGATTTGCACTCCTCAGTAACTGGACTAGATTTTTAGACCACGAGAAGAAGTATTGTATTTTTGAAACACGTACTTTGCAACTGTGAATTATGTACAGGCAGGCACAGAACACAGAATTATTCTGAGCAAGTCATGGTGCAAGGAAGACATCAAATGCTAAAGTAACAATTCCTACCTATGGAAAGCATAATGAACCAATTATTTCATATATGTTTAAAACAATACATCGCAAATTGTGGTGTCATCTTCAGAAGACCAGTAATTAAGCAAATATTCATAAAACACGTATCACTACCTTTCTATGAATTTAGCAATGAGTAAACTACTAGCTCTTAGCTGACATTCTGCTACTATTTTGAATTCCTATTCTTCTCAATGGAAACATGAATGAAAGCATGTGATTTTTACTGCCTGTTAGTTCAAATCAATTTGATTTCACACAAACAAAGAACAATTATTTTAGAGATGCCTACTTGTGGAAAGTAACCTCAATAGGCAGGCTCTCTTGACATCTGGGCTTTATTAACCTCTTCCTAAGAGCCCTCTTCTCTTTCAGTACGGCTTCCAAGTGTCTGTTCATATCTTGCAAAATCTCGCATTTTTTGCCTATAAAATAAAATTGTAAGTTGAAACTGTCCTGCTAAAACAACTGCTAAATTTATTCCAGAAAAAGACAGTCTGATCTATTGCATTAGACAGCTTATGTTCAAGAAAGGTATCACTAATCAGAATGACTTTTGTTGGTGTGTATAGGACTTATTATCAGCATGCTACTCGAAGTTGTAATACCTGCTTTTTAGAAATAGCTTTAATTGTTTTACATTACTTATAGTTTTAAGGAAACTGTCTTTGAGATGAAACCAACTTCTTAACCTGTACTGTAGCACTGAAGCATTACAATATATTTCACAGGCCTAACACAAAAGTAGCAAGCTAGAATGTTTTAAGCATCCACCAAATCATAATGGGAAAAGTGCAAAATAAAGAAAGGAACACATATGGTCCTAAAATACTAAAATGAAAATCCCAAGTAATTGTAGGGGCATATAGATGCAGCAGAAATACACCAAGTTACTGGAAAAGCAGCATAAGTAGGGCCAAGGGAAGCAAATTAGGTTTCTGATGGTCTCACAACTCCTGATGCTCCACTGACCCTGAGGAGCTGACCACACACACAATTTTGTTGGAAAAGGAGTTACACGCAGAGCTTCTACTGAGACAGCAGAATGTGCAAGTCAAAATAGCATGAAAGCATTCTTCAGGGGCTAACAAAACACCTGCAACCTCTAAGAAACTACCAGTGGAGACAGGAGACAGCTGCAGCAACTTCTAGAATCGTCATGTAGTCATGAGAAACATTAATCTGCTGATGATGTAATTTAATAGTCTTGGTTTTTCCATGGTACATCTGCACTTACCTAAGTAAAAAGGGTGAGCGATGTCTGCTGTCTCCTTCTCCAGCTGCAGAATTTCAGTTTTCAGTTTCAACTACATTAACAACATTAAAGGAAAATGCATTTTTAATATACTTATCCAGATATTGTGGACTCTCTTAAGTGGAGGAGAAAGTGGGAGCATAGAGCAGAACATGTGTATGAAAGAGTGAGCATTTGCACATTACAATGCTTTCTGGAGTGTTTCTACTACTATACAGAGTTTCTTTGGTCAACAGGAAAAGACAAAAAAAACCCCAACGTGAACAAATTAGTGATCTATTGGGAATTTGTACTGGAAAAGACAGATCTTGCAATTTGTTCCTAAAACACAGAAATTTTTATCTCCTACAAAGCAATTTCACAGTTCATATTCTACTAAAGAACCTCTCACAGTCCCAAGTTTCCTCCTTCTAGCAAATATTGGTTTGGGTTGGGTTTTTTTAGCTGTGGGAGAAGCTCTGTCAGGTAAAACTCCTCACTTCCACAGAATCACAGAACCACTGAGGCTGGAAAAGACACCTGGGATCACAGAGTCCAACCATCATCCCTGCTCTACAAAGTTCTCCCCTAAATCATCCAAATCCACCAACACCACATCCAAACAACACTTAAGCACATCCAGGGATGGGGACTCAACCACCTCCCTGGGCAGCCTATTCCAGTATCTGACCACTCCTTCTGCGAAATAAAATTTCCTAATGTCCAATCTAAACCTCCCCTGTTGCAGCTTGAAGCCATTCCCTCTTGTTCTGTCGCTAATTACCTGTGAAAAGAGATCAGCACCAGCCTCTCCACAATGACCTTTCAGGTAGTTGTAGAGACTGATGAGGTCTCCCTTCAGACTCCTCTTCCCCAAACTAAACACTCCCAGCTCCTTCAAGCATTCTTCATAAGATTTACCCTCTAGGCCCTTCACCATCTTCCTTGCCCTCCTCTGTACTCTCTCCAGCACCTCAATATCTCTCTTGTATTGAGGTGCTCAAAACTGGAAACAATACTCCAGGTGAGGCCTCACCAGTGCTGAGTACAGGGGGACAATCACCTCTACTTCTGCTGGTCACACTATTTCTAATTCAAGCCAGGATGCCATTGGCTTTCTTGGCCACCTGGACACACTGCTGGCTCATATTCAGCCCCTTGTCAATCAGAACCCCCAGGTTCTTTTCTGCCAGACACTTTCCAGCCACACCTCCCCAAGCCTGTAGCGTTGCCTGGGGTTGTTGTGTCCCAAGCGCAGGACCTGGAACTTGGCCTTGTTGAAGCCCAAACCATTGACATGAGCCCAACAAGGCAACCAACAGGTTGTCAGGCAAGACCTGCCTTTCATAAACCCCTACTGACTGGGCCTGATCCCCTGGTTATCCTCTACATGTCTTCTAATAACACTCAAGATGACAAATAAAAGGGAGCAAGGTCTGGGTCAAACTCCCACAACCAAAAATCCGTTTAATATAAAGTCCTCTCATCGAGGACATATCAGATATTAAACTGATAAGAACAGATACTACACTTGATCTTAGCCAAGAGGCCGAGAAGTGATTTAATTATTTCCACTTGTAGAGCAGCAGATGCCTCCTTGTGGCTGAAAGAGTTGTGGTCATTTTGGCTACCCAAGAGAAAACTGAGGAAAGTACAAAAGAGGATGACATCAGTCTCTCAGGACACACAGAGAACTGTTGCTTTGCTTTTCCTGATCACTGAGAAGAGGACAAAACCAAACTTGCTTCATTTGTCTCATACTGAACATGTGCCAGAGAGTACTTTCTATGTGGAACCTTCCAGCAAAAGAGACTAAGTAGCCACCTCACTGGGTGCTGGAAGCTGTTCCTTCTGCTGGTCAATACAGGATGATGCCAGCTGTTAAGCTCATTCTCAAAAAAAAAGTAAATGGTGAGTTTGTCACCCTGCTTTGCAGTAAGGCTTTGTAGCTGCTGGAGCCCATATTGTGGAACTTCATAAACAGTTTTCTGTACCAGCAAACAAATGCCCAGAAAACTATGATGATAGAATACAAGCCAACAACCATTTCAGCCAATAGGAAATGACTGAGGTTACTTCTTGCTCACCAATAAAATGGTCTAGTTGCCTATAAAGAAACACGTTTTTGTGAATATACATCAACTACAAGCTCTTATTTGTTGTTTGGTTTCCTCAGAAAGCTTCAGGTAGCACTTCAGCCAAAGATGCAAGCTGCTGTGTCTTTCCACTTATGCTGAAAACTTGTTTCATCATTTTATTCTTTTCTTTGTGACAACTCAGTCCACTTGGGAAAAGTGCTAACTGTTAAACCACTAAACTGTTAAAAGACCCCAAGTATGAAACAACAGCACATTGCAGTCCTCATGAGATGACATGCATTATAGAATCATAGAACAGTTTTGGCTGGAAGGGACCTAAAGGATTGTCTAGTTCCACCCACCCCCAAGGACAAGGACAGGGACACCTTCTACTAGATCAGGCTGCATAAGCCCCATCCAGCCTGGCCTTGAACACCTCCAGAGAGGGGGCTTCCACAACTTCCCTGGGCAACTCGCTCTGGTGCCTCACCACCCTAACAATAAAGAATTTCTTCCTAATGTCTAACCTAAACCTACGTCTTCCAATTTAAAACCACTACCCCTCTTCCTGTCACTACACGCTCTGGAAAAATCTTTAAGTATTGAAGTGTTGAATGTCCCGTGACAACAGTAAAGGCTGTACCTCACTGATTTCAGCTTGCATGTTTGCCATTTTTTCCATCTCTGAGAATTTCACAAAGCACGGGGCTTTTCTACAGGTTAAATCCAATGTCTCCTGCAAAAGGAAAACAATGGGGAAAAAACGCAGTCAGCAGAAAGAACATAACAGGCAGACTTTCAAGACTGGCTTTTACTGGTCTGTTAACCTCTCGCACTATGTAAAGCAGCACATTCCAGCTGGGCAACGCACAGAAGATCCGCACTGTTTGGGGAACACGAAGTTTCGCAGAGGGCAGCGCGGGCACCGACAGCGCAGCCGCCCCGCTGCCGTGCGCTGGAGGCCTCACAGAGCCCATCCCTTCGCTCCAAAGACACCCGAAGGCGCCGTTATCCCCAGGAAGGAAAGCCGCAGCCCCGCAGCCGCGCTCCCGGGCTCTGCCTCCCCCGTCACGCCCGGCTCTCCCGCTTACCT